AGAAAAAAAACTTTGTCGTGAGTGTAGTTACCTAGTCTTACAGCCTGTTCATGGATACATTTTCTTTCTTAAACCCTAACTTTGTCACATCAGAATCCGGTACAGCGTTCAAACCAGGTTCGGATGTCCGAATCCGATCCAATTGTTTTGCACCGGATTCGGACCTCCGAACCTGTCCTTTGGATCGAATCCGATGCAAGGTCCGTACTACTGGTCCGCACTGTACATAGTACTGACCCGTATTGAGCATACAGGGCGTTCAGGATCTACGGCGACTTCTTTTTGGTAGATTAGCTCCTAAGAGCCAAGTTCAACCCTAGTGTGTTAAGTATTATATAAAAGCAAGACTTGAGTAAGACGGTTCGGTCAAAAACAGTTCTTAGCGTTATTAAATGGTGTTAAATATAATTTTACCATAAAATAAATATCGAAAAACTTTTTCTGACTATTTGTTATAATGAAAATCGCCAAAAATGGCAGCGCGCCGGAGGGGGACCGATTAATACTTATTCAAGGGCTTGTAAAATGAGTTGTTTATATCCAACCGGAAAAGTTTTAATAGATAAATGTAGCCAAAATTAAGGGCTTCAATATTTGATATAACACTTAACATATTAGGCGGAACTTTGCGCTGGGGAGCTAATCTACCAAAAAGAAGTCTGAACAAATACTGAACTCCCTGTAGTACTGGCTCTAGTACTGTACATAGTGCTAGCCCGTAGTAAAGTCATAGAACTATGTAGATAGAAATAGATTTTTATAGAATTAGCATATTTGCACCAATTCAAATACAGCTTGCATCGGATTTGATCCAAAGGAGAGATTCGGACGCCTGAACCAGGTTCGGACCTCGGAATCCGAAATCGAACCGGATTTGGACGTAACAACTCTAAAGCATAGTCAAATTCTAGATGGGAATGCGTAAACCCATTGGGATCTCCAATCTCACCTCTAACCCTGAATTCAATTATTTCCTCATGTAATCTCAGCATGATTTATTGTATGCAAATGCTCGCCAATGGACTGTGCACAAATAGGTCAGATCAAATCAAATTTTTGCTTAATTCATCTTCAGAGTCTTTGCCGTTTTCTTTAATGGTTTGTACTACTCAAAAATGGAGAAAATCGCTTTTCTGCACGCTTTGGCCCTTTGGCTTTTCCCGATCACCGTCTATTGTTATCAAATCGGAAATTGTGAGTGCTTGAATGTAAAAAAAAGGTAATGCTTTTAGTGGTTAACCCAGTAACTGGTTTCATTTGTTATGGAGGCTGGTTCTACAGTCCTCTCCATTTTTGTAATGTCACTTCTTATTCATGGGATGCTATTGGGCAATGGCTGGTCACTTGGTTTGAGAAAGTGATGTACGGTGTATTTGGAGTCACTTTTTGTCTTGATTTACTCACATTGTGGAGAGTTCATGCACTGGTTGGTTGGCTCTCCTTTTAAGTCTCCAGGATTCTAAGTTTACTTGATGAAAAAAGCTCTAGACCAAGAGATCAACATCGAACTCAAGCCGGCGAGCTGATATCCGTTTGTCAATTATGGTAGGTAAAAATTTCTGGAGTTACTATTGCTTTTAGTTAGTGACAACTCATTTTATCACTGTCACATTTTTGGTGCTTCATTGGTGGACATTGAATTCCTTTAAAGGAGGAGTACCCGTTTTCTATTTTCTGCTCATGGAAGTCTACCCGTTTACTGTACAATCTATTTTGGGGTTAGTCAAACAGCTTGATTTTTAATGCGTGAAACAGCTTGAACCTTTAGCTTTGTTGTAATCATGTTTATGTTACCATCGAAAAGCTCGAAAAGGCCGAAAATCGAAAATCAAAAGCGAAGTTCAGTGATTGGTTTAGTCACGCAGTCAACCGAGCTTCCAATTGGTTAAAGTTTTCCAATGAAAACTTCAATCAATCTTTTTCTTTTTTTTGCGTTGATAAAACTTTCAAATGAATAAAGTTTATTCAGCGCTATTAAACTTAGCAAAAAGCAGATCAAACAGATATTTTTGCAAGGAGTAGTACATTTTTGCTGGACCGATGTTTACTGATTTTGGACTGATGACAGCGGTTTCATTCTGATGACAGCAATTGTCCTTTAGACCACACCAATAAGGACAATTTCCAGATTTACAGTTGTTGATGCAGCTTTCCGGACAACAAGCTCTCGATTGAAAGTCTAAACTATTAGATTGGTGCATAAGTTTTTACAATTTGGTTTCAAATTTTGTTTGATGTTGTTTGATGTTTGATGTTTGATGTTGTTTGATGTTTGATGTTTCCATGGAAAAGAATCCTTTAACAAATTTGCTGTGTCTTGAACTATTAAAAAGGTCAATCATTTCTCTACAAAATGACTTTTGAGAGAAAGCTCAAAGTTCGCCTCAACCGGATAAAAACACATTTTTGTGTAAGGTTTTCAATTGTTGTTTTAAACAAAATGGCTGAACGGATCGTTTTTAAATTTTGAAGACTAATGTAATCAAATGCGCTCCATCTTTTTTACTATGGCACCAAAATAGGTTTGTATTGAAGAAAGTGTTCAAATTGCGACTTCGGCATCGGAGTTTTAGGTGCTCGCCTTTGCGCTTTTGATCCAAAAACCTCAATCCACAAAAACAACTACTTTCAAGAATTTTCCAAAAGTCATTTTGCATAGAAAGATTTAGTCCTTTTAATAGTTTAAATAGAAATTTTGTGGTATTATTTTAAAAATACTTTTGAAAAAAATTGTGAACCAACTTAATATTAAGCTGTCCAGAAAGTCATTTCGTTCCTTTTCGTACTCAAAAAATAACAAATTCATCAATTAACCTATGCTTTGCTCTAAATAAAAAGTCTTTATTGTTCATTTTCCCATCTTTTTAAGGCAATTTGGGTTCACTTTCAAGCAAATTCGAGAGTGAAAACACGTGTTTTTCGTAAAAACCAATGAAAACCTCTATTGGCTCAATTAATTTCTCTGCAAACTTGATCATATACATAACTTTTTATACTCTATCTTTTATTTATTGACTATCTATTAGGTTGATGCATAAGTCTTTTCGTTTTTTTCGTACTTCTGTTAAAAAGTTACAAATTCACCAATTAATCTATAGTTTGCTCTATAAAAAAAGTGTTTTTTTGTTCAATTTCCATCTTTTAAAATGAATTTCGGTTCACTTTCAAGCAAATTCGAGAGTGAAAAACGCCTTTTTCGTAAAAATCTATAAAAAACTCTACGGAAAAATTGGCTGAATGAATTTCTCTGAAATTTTGGCGAAATATCAAACTTTTTTTCCTCTATCTTTTATCTATTGACACGAAGATAGGTTTTCTTTAGCTAAGGTGTCTAAACCGCATCATCGAGTTAGCCCTTTTTGACTACCCGACTTCATACTCTCAAGAAAATCCAGGCATAAAATATTTTTAAACCCGTTTTAATGTTATTTTGCAGAAAAATAATTGGTTTTTCTAATGAAATCAACCGTAGTTTAATTGGTGCATTTGTTGGCTTGAAACGGCAGACGAAAAGGAACAAAAAGACTTATGCATCAACCTATTATATCTATATCTATCTATTTTATCTTTTATCTATCTATTAAAATGTCTAAACCGCATCGAGCCGTCGCCCTTTTTGACTACCCGACTTGACGCGCTCAAAAAAATGCAAACATAAGGCATTTTAAGCCCGTTTTAATGTTTAAGCCAGAAAAATAATTGGCCTTTCTAATGACACAAACCCTAGTTTTTTTGGTATATTTGTTGGTTTTAAACAGAAGTATGAAAAGGAATGGAGAGACTTTCTGGACAGCCCAATAACCTTGCACTGCGAATCTAGCTTGTATTATATTATAGCTAGAAGCTTTCTAGTTTATTCTAGTAAATTTATTCACAGTACTGTTCTAGGTTCAGTTAAAGAGAAAGCCGACTCTACAAATGTAAAGTTCAAAGGCTTTACAAATGTTTGGCTTGAGCAATCGATCTGTTTTCAAAAGAATTCAGACATAAGGCATAAACCCGTTTAAACCGTTTCAAACCCCTTTCAATGTTATTCTGCAGGGAAATAATTGACCTTTCTAATGAAACAAACCGTTCAATTCGTGCATTTGATTTTAAACAGAAGTATAAAAAAAGAACGAAAAGACTCTCTGGACAGCCTAACATTGGCCTATACAGATATTGGTTTAAAGCTGAACGAAAAGCTCACCTCGTGCTCCGATGACATTGTAGAAAATGATAAGTCCAATAAGACAAGTCAAAACCGCTTTCATCAATAACACCATAACACCACAAGAAAAAAAATCATTCACAAACGTTCTATTGAATTTTCTTTCTCAAGAAATTCACTGATAAGGCTATTGATTCGAAATTCGAAACTGATTCGAAAAAACGGGAGTGGGACAAATGCGACCTTTTTTTCCGCACTTACCCCATTAGCGCACCTTTTTTCGCGTTTTAAAAAAGCTCTAAAAGCTAATATTAATCAATTTCTATTCCAAAAGTTGTTTTTCTAGGTAATTTTAGGGCGTAGAATCGAAATTTTGGCATATCAGAGCTTGTGGAAGCGAACCGACGGAGTTATACAAAGAGAAAAAGAGTTATACAATTTTCTGTAATTTGACCTAGCCGTTTTGTCTTTCAAATTGGTTCCACACGCTCTGTTATGTCAAAATTTGAATTCGACACCCTCAAATTACCTAGAAAAACAACTTTTGGAATAGAAATTGGTTAATATTAGCTTTTAGAGCTTTTTTAAAATGCGAAAAAAGGTGCGCTAATGGGCTAAGTGCGGAAAAAAAGGTGCTCAAATGTCCGGGTGCGCAAAAAAAAGGTCGCATTTGTCCCACTCCCGAAAAAACAACAAAATTGCACATTTGAAGGTGTTTGAACTCTGTGTTCTCTTCCAGTAATATTTTACTGCTCAATAAATCTTGGCAAAGGTAAAACAAACGAAGAAGAATGAGCGTGCATCCATCTAATGAAAACAATTCTAGTGAAAACAATTTGATTCAAAGTCACGGCATGCTGGCATTCTGTTTTTGCGCGGTCTCTTTCGGGCGAAACTCCAAAAAGAAAGCCAGACAAGTCATCATCACGGAAAATGTCTGGAGGTGACTTTGAAAGATATTCAGTCTTTTAGATTCTATCTTACCGTAAGAATCATTGGTTTTGTAACAAGTGCAAAGCCCCAAAGAGAAATCCCCAAATCGGCTTGTTCCAAGTGCATCACCAACGTGTGAGCTACCTAAAAAGCTAGAAATTTTCGTAAAGTTCGTCCAAATTTTAGTTTATTGATCATTGAAACTTTCAAATTGATGCTTTCAATGAACCTCAATTGGAAATTGCAAATTAAACCCTCAAAAAAACCAACCTTGTTCACTTTTTCATCAAATGGCACCCAGAGATTGTTATTCATGCAAAGTGTTGCTTTTGATTTGCTTAGCTAAACAATTACAGCTATAGTCTAGTTCTTCAGAAATTAGAGCTATATTAGATCAACTTGTACTTCTGAGCCTTCAATTAGGATTCAGTGAATCACTATTATGTTGTAAACTAAGTCTTGATCCCAAATTCAAAATAATATTTATTGACAACCAAAAGAGCAGTTTAATTGAAAAAGCCTTTATTATTTGCGATGACTTTCGCCCATTTTACTGGCAATTGGCAGATTCCTCTCTCATAGAAAATTTTTGTCGAAAATTCAAGTCGAAATAGCTTTGGAGCCACTTTTTGAGGCCTTCTTGATTTTGAAAGTGCTCTCCATATAGAGCGTGTTGCATCGATCGGAAAAGATGATAATCTGTAGGACTGAGGTCAGGAGAATATGGTGGGTGGGGTTAGAGTTCCCAGTTCAACTCGTGGATTTTGGAGCGGGTCAACTTTGCCGTATGTGAACTGGCGTTATCGTGTTGGAGAATGACCTTTTTCAAATTGGAGCTCTTTTTTGCCATTCTGAATTGTGTTTTTGAATAAAGAACTGATAAGTCAATATTGAAGAAAAACAAAAAACGCGTACTAAACATAAGCAAAATTTCGAAACTTTGCTGATGGGGGTCAAGACTTAGTTTACCATCTAATATAATATTAAACTTGCAGAAGTTGATTGATTGATTGGTTAGTTTTGAAAAGGAAATGGATTCTAACTTCATTTACCTCTTCATGTAAAGTGGCAGGGGTAAGAGTGGCACCGATGTAGCCATAAAGACACATCAAAACTGTTGGAATGCTGGAAAAAAAAGTGTTAGAGCTATATTTCCGGGAGTAAAATGATCAATAGCCATATTCTTACGACTCAAATATTCGTGTTTTCGTTCGAAATTTGCCAGTTCAAAGTCAACTCACCAAAGCATTAGTCCAGAAAGGCTGTCTCTTGTCAAAACGAGCGTCAGCGTGAATAATGTAGAAGGGATAATTGAACAAATGATTAAAAACCCGTAGATCTGAATGTTCTTTTAATATTTCGAGATATTTGAACCTTGAATATCCGATCCAATTCTCGAACACATTTGTTTAAATGAGTGTGTAGAAGGATCATCTCTTCCACTTTTTTCACCATCTCACCTGGAGTGGAAGCGTTTAACTGAAGCTCAAATGTCATCTTTATTGTCATTTTTATCATTACAGCTCTGAGTTTTCGATTGAACTTCTTCGCTTCCCAATACATGATATTTGCAAGGCACATGTAAACATGTAAAGCTTAAAGACTTAGTAACTTTAAGTGTAAGTAGTAAGTGTTACCGATCGTCCAGACTTGTAAGCTGTAGAAAATGAGAAAATGACGAATCCAGAGTAACTCTGGGTAGATGAAAGTCTGTAAGGATCAATCAATTTATGAAATTCTATGAGAAGCTGTCCTGGATGTTCTAAGACATGCTAAGAGTTGAATGTTTTTACACCGAGCGTCAGTGTGAATAATGTAGAAGGGTAGATCATGCTATTCTTGGTAATGTAAGTCTTACATATAAGAAACTTGGATGAATCATCGCAGTCGCAAAACCAAGTTTCGCTGCAGTGAAGTAGAAAATGACGGAGATGAAGCCAGTTCCAAAAAGAACGAGAAATCGACGAGTATGATTGGATATTGAACGATTGCGAAGCTGGGAATGTATGTGTGCATTATTCAAAACGGCTTTTCGATTTAATCTAGCTTTACTTTATCATAATATCCTCCATCATCTATTCGAAAATGCTTCAGTGTGTGGAAAAATCTCGGAATGCCCAGATTCATTTGCACTCGAGTCAAGAAAATCTGAAGCTTTAGCTGTATATGGAAAATGGTACAATAACAAGAATATAACATTAGAATATCTAGAAATCTCACTTGAATAGGTACTAGCTAGTCATGGGAAAATTCCAATCCAAACTTAATTTCACCTTCGTTTTCTTGGCCGATTTTTGGCCGATTTTTGGCCGATTGCTCTGAAATCTTGTCTACAGATAGAAATTAACATTTTCAGCCTGTAGACAAAATTTCAGAGCAATCCAAGAAACGACGGTGGAATTAGGTTCAGGTTAGCATTTCCCCATTTCTAGTACTACCTGTGAGACGAGTGCTTGAATAATGATGACAATCCATTGATAAGTTCTTCCCGAAGATTTCGGATCAAAGAGATAGACCGAATGATAAAAATCAAAAACACCAGTGTATAAACCTGACATTTTTTAGGAAATGAATAAAAATAAATCGAACAGATAGCTGTTACAGATCCTTGATAAATCAATCGGAGTGTTGTGGAGAGTTTACTGGAAAAAGGCTTGTAGCAAAGTCCCATGAAAGAAATGAACTGAAATTTGGCTTCTCTGTTAAAATGTTTTGAAATTTTGATTAAAGCTAACCCTTGAAATCAAGATAAATTGTTTGCAAGCTGGATCATCCATATCCATTTCCAAAAGATTACATCCGTCTTCCGTTAAAACTTTGCCGTCCTTACTCACAAATTTGACATGATCTTCATCATCTTCATTTCTTGAAGATAGAAGTTCTTCCGGACTCGCCAGTGTTACCATCATTTTCTGAACTTAGAAAACTTCAGGAAAAGTAGTTTTATATTCTTATAATCAAACTAAAGATAAATCAAACTAGAGATATATCAAATCCGATTCAACAAACCTTTCCTTTGAAATTTGTTCGGTTTTTCCATTCATTTTGATCTAAACTCAAAATATTGGGTTGTTCAGTTATGAATGCGCGTTTTTACTATTTTGTAAATCTTTCAAGATATCGAACAGATGTATATGAGTGTTATATATCATTCGAAAGCTGAAGATCTCCTCTACATTTTGGAATAAAAAGTTTTTGAATTCATTTAGCTTTTTGGGAAATTGACTGCACAAAGGAAGAGGTCGTTTTCGAAAAAACCCATTCCAGCTCAAGTTTTATGGTGTAAAATAACCGCCCAGAAAAGAAAAGAAAAGTGAAGATGCTCTGAAATTGTTATATTTAAAAAAAAGTTGTATTGATATATCTATTGGCCAAACATCAAACGGTTAACTCAATTTGAGCGGAGCCAAAACTTGATCCAAAGGCACCCTTCCATTTTTTGGCCACCTCTTCTTCTGTGCAGTCAATTTGCCCGAAAGCTGAACAAATTCAAAAACTTTTTATATCAAAATGTAGAGGAGATCTTCAACTTTCGAATAATATTCATATATATCTTTTCCTTGATTTCGGTATCTTGAGAAATTTACAAAATAGTAAAAAACGCGCATTCATAACTGGACAACCCAATAGTAGCAAAACATCTTGTCAAATTCGAAAATTGGAGAATTGGCGATCAAAGAAAAGATCATTTTTTTCGTAGTATTCATTTTTGTTTATGAGTGAGCGCGTCTTTTTTGTGTGTTTTAGGTTTAATCTTTTGCCTCATTGTGAGCTTTTGCTTTCCTGGAGAAAATAAGTCGCCAGTAAATGTAAAACAATGCCATTTGTAAAGTTTAAAGCTAAACAATTTATCTCAAAAAGGTTAAATAACGTTAAATAGAAAGAAGGACATGAAATATCGACAAATATTTTGCTTTACTGAAAAAATAAAAAGCTCTACTGCTCTGGAATGCCAGAAAAAATGGGGGTATGCATGAAAGAGTTCGGCACGCAAAGCGGATGACTTTTGAAATGATGAGAATTTGAAAACAAACAAAAAATGTTTACGATAAGATTTGGAAAAGGAATTTCGCGTGTACGACTTCCTATTTATGTTAAAATTTAGCGATTATCCAAGCTTTTTTAGCTCTATGGCTCTATGGCGACCAAGAAAGAGTTCTGACAATCTCAGCTTTTTGAAATAAAGATTTTTGTGCATTAGATCAGACGGATTATATCAGACGGACTATATATGGTTAATCAACAATTTAGCAATCTAAAGTGGAGTTATAACACTTGCCACAAAAGCCATATTTCTATTCGCCTTACCATTCATAAGTTCTTTTGAAAAGCGAACGAGTAAGAGGAAAGGGTAGAGAGAAGAAGAGAAATTTGTTTTGTTTTGTTTTTGTTTTGAAAGAAGAGAATGTTTTGAAAGTTCTGGTTATGGATGTAATCGGGTCAAATTTTGTATATTTTCAGATCTTACATCTAGTTCATCAATACCAAACTTTATCCTGGGTTTTCGGGAAGGGAATCAAGAAGTGAAGGAATTGACAAGAAAAGTAGATTTCCGACAAGGGGATTGAACCGTAGAACTGTTGATTTTGCTTCCGGGTAATCGCTCTAATTACTGAGCTATCCGGTACCTTAGCCTGCCAAGAGAGAAGGAAATACAAGGGGGAAGAAGAAAGGAAGAAAGAAAGAAGGAACTTTATCATTATCTTTATCAGTGCCCCCTTCAAGTTTCCACAGAAAATTATATTTTTTACGCATTTTATGTTTAATTTTCATTAAATAGCATGAAAATTCTTCAAAGATTTCAACGATTAACAGTTTTAAACTCTACCAGCACCATTTTTAAACTCCAGCAGACCAAAGTCCTTATTCTATTGGGTTGGGGAGAATGAATCGGCGCCGAAAATCAAAAAAATGTCTAAAACTTCTAGCAGCCTTCGTCAAATAAGGTTTGATATCAGTAGAATGGTTAACTAATTCTCTACAAAAGACATTTAAAAGAAAATTCAAACAGCGCCCCGCTCAAGAAAAAGCCATTTTTCACAAAAACTACAAACTGTCATCTAGAAAAAACCATTGGTGGGATCTTCCTGCAAATTTGGCAACTTAAGTAATTGAATGTGCTCTATCTTTTTTATATACACACCAAAGAAGGTTTATGTGAAAGAAACTGTTCAAATGATGAGCCGGACTCTTTGCCATTTTAACCAGCTGCGTTTGGAAGTTCATAAACTCCACGAAAGAAAAGCTTTGTGGAATCTCTCAAAAGTGATTTTGTAGAGAAATAGTGGATCCTTTTGATGAAACCAAACGTATGTTTAAAGAAGGCTTTATGTGTGCAAAAAGTCCCTTTAAAGTTTGGCGCCGACTCATTCTCCCCAACCCAATACTTTGTATTGCAATGTTTTATAAGTTCTTATAAATTATTTTTCATTACAGATTGTCAAATGCTGAGTTTTTCAATATTTTTTCCTCAAATGATCCAAAATCTCTTTGATGAATGAAACCTCTCAAGAGATTTGTGAAAAATCTCAAAGTTTTTGGCGCAAGCTCGGTTGTTGACACGAGTCTGTGGCTGAGCTGTGAGTTGTCTCTCCGGAAAAACTATCTTTATCGAAAGAATTTCTCAATTTCGAGATCTTGTTTTCTTTTTCATGTTTTGTGCAATAGAGATGAACAATTTCAACGCTCGCGCGCTCGCCGCTTTTTCTTGGATTGGAAATCTCCCATTATCCATTTGAGAAAGAAGAAACCTTGACAAACGAGACACAGTTTTTTGGCGGTTCAAAAACCCCTTTCTCGAAGCTCGGCGGAAACGTTTAATTTCAACAGTCACAACTTACAACTAGCCATGAATTCGATTCTGGTCTTATTTTCTTTAATTTCTTTATGTTTAGCAAAAGTGGATCGGCTAGAAATCAAGGTAAGCTGTGACAACGATTGCCATTCTTTGTAGTTAAGTTTGTTTGTTGGAAAAGTCGTATCAAGTTTTAACTAAAACTATCATTTGTGTCAAGTTTTAATAGACTAACAAGCTAACCTTACTAGCTATAAAAGTCTTAGAAAATGCTCAAAGCAATTCCCAATTTTGAAAAGAATTTTGACTTTAAGAGGTCGACTTGGAGACAGTAGTTGATTTCTCTGTCTTTCAGCTAGAAACTTAATCGTTTCTTTTGTTCTTTAGTTAATCATTTCCTTAGTTTTTCTTTGGTTTTAGACCAGTTAGTCTCAATATCAGTAAGGATTGGCTTTTGATTGGTGTAGACACCCAATCGATTTCATAAATGAGATCAAAAACCAGGTCTACGACCTTTGTGCAAAATTGACAACGATCTTTTCCAAGCAAGGTCATTGAATTTAACGTGATTACAAAAAAAAGCTTGGTACAGAAAGTTGTGAGATAAAGTGGGCTGATAGGAAAACGGATTCTCGTTCTAAGCAAATCAGAAGTAAAACAACGTGTAAGAGACGCAAAAGGGATTTCCCAATTAGTTTTGTAATGAACGCAGTTGAATCTTTGATCAGTATTTTATTTATTTCAGTAAAAGTTATTAATTCTTAGCGTGGTCACGATTTTCGTTATCAAGTGACGACAAATTCAACACAATGGGCGAGACGAGTTCCCTTACAAAGACATCGAGGGATTCAAGTGATTGATGCTTGCCTTGAATTGGAAGAAACAGCTAAATGTTTCAATTGGAATGATAAGGTAAAGATTTCGATGTGAAAATGATAAAGCTCTGGTTTCAGAAGGGAAATGTTTTCACTGATACATCGAGATCTCGATTTTACCCAAACGGAACTCTTATCATTTATCAAGTTGTCGAAGAAGACACGGGAACATATTGGATTCCCGGAAAAACTGAGTTCCAGACGGTGAGAATGACGTTTTTAAGATCTTAAAGACATAGTCGATTGAGAAATTGTTCCAGTACTATACAAATGAAATTACTTTCAGATAGGCGAAGATGGAAAAGCGATGGGTTGGCATAATGGTTTCGAGTTGGTTGTTTGGTGATTGTTTGGAAAAAGAAACACTTTGAAACGTTTATCATTGACATTTTGAAAAACTTAATAAAATTTAACCTAAAACTCGCATTGTATTTTTTAAACAAAAACAAGGTCAAATAAAGTTGCGGCAATGTGATTTATTCGTTGTTATGCTTGACTGTGCTATCTATTTTGAGCTAGTTTAAAGCCCTAAAGTTCTAAGAAGCCCAGAACTTGTATAGAATAAACCCTCATAATGAATATTGGTGCAATGAAACAAATACCAACAAACAAAAGTCCGACATACTATCGTCCACGCCGTCTGCTTGCTAAACGACAAGATAAATCATAAGCGAAATCATAGATCCGACTTTTCGAGTAGATTCCCAAATTAGTGCCAACTTCGAACACTTGTTTCTCGGTCAATTCTGAATTTGGGCAAAAAATAACCACAGCATCGTACTCTCCATATCAAAAAGTTGTTTTATAACGTCGCCCCGCCAAAAATTATCACTTGTGTTTGGGTTATTCCCTTGCAAGTCTTTGCCAACAAATGTCTTAGCATAACGGCTGTGGATGAGACTTTTGACTTTTGACTTTTGAGAGACGCCCGATCTTCGTATAAGAATTACCCCATTGTAAGAAAACTTTACAGATCTAGTGCTTTAGATTTAGTTCCAATTATCTAGTAAATCTGATTTCAGACTGAAGAAAGAGGACTTCGTGAAACTGGGTAATCGGGTAATCGGAGAAAACCTTTCATAAACGTTTACGAGAATAAACTTTTTGTTTGAGAGCCTTGAATTTGCAAGATTTATACACAAAAAAACAGCATATAATTTGTTGAATTGATGGGAATTTGACTTATCCTCTAGCAAGAGGAGCACTTGTTACAGTAACAGCGGCTGCAGATACTGTAGTGGTTTCAATTGTGACACTTGATGGAGCTTGAGTAGTTGATCCGGTTGATCCTTGCGAAGTGGATGAACTGACTGACCCACTTGTTGATCCAATCGATGAACTCATCAATCTCATTGTTGTCGTTCTCATTGGTTTCTTTGTCTTTTCATGAGATTCACTTGAATGAGAGTGGCTTTCACTGCTTTTCTGAAATAAAATTCAAAATTGAACATTCTAAAATCAAAAAGTTTGCAATTCTTGCCAAAATGGAGGTAAGACTTACTGATTCACTTGATTTTCCATGATTGTGTTTACCAGCCTGTAAAATAATCCTTAATTGGGGAATTGTGATTTTCACAAACCTTCTTATGAGCCAAAACGACGGCAAGGCAAATGGTGAGGACGAGAAGAGCACGCATTTTGAATGAAGGATTGGAATTGGAAAATTGTGATCTCTCCTTGAACTGTCGGCTTTAATAGTCTAGATTGTGCAGCTCTTTAAATATCAAGCCTCATGATACGCCCAGATTCATGACTTATTCGTCATTTTCATTCGCTAGGAACATATTTTGGTCTAACACGGCTTTGCGTGGGTTTCCACTCAAAATTTTTGTTTGTTTAGCTTTAATAAGTCTGATCAGGAAAACATTTTCCGCAATTTCTTTACCGGGCCAGTGACTGAAACTCTGTGTGAAAGAATCAAAGCTGTGGTAGACGAACAATGAGTTGGGCCCAGTACCCAGGATAGTTACGGTACGGTCTACACTGTATGATACACTAAACATGGTCTACACTGTATGATACACTAACACCGCACTACCAGTCCTACAGAAAAATATCTACAATGTTAGCAGAGCAAGAGGTGAGCTTTTCGTTCTGTTTTAAGCCAATATCTGTATAGCTCAATGTTAGGCTGTCCAGAGAGTCTTTTCGTTCTTTTTCATACTTTCATACTTTTTCATACTTTCATAAAATAACACGACTTATGCAAAATGTCCCAAAGCTTCTCAAGTAACATTTGACATCATGGCAACGACTGTTATTCCGTACGGTTCCAGTACGGTTCCTATTTTGATCTAATACGGCTCCAATACGGTTCCTATTTTGGTATAATACGGTTCCAATACGGTTTCAATACGGTTCCTATTTTGATCTAATACGGCTCCAATATGGTTCCAATACGATTCCTATTTTGGTCTAATACGGTTCCTATTTTGATCTAATACGGCTCCAATACGGCTCCAATACGGTTCCTATTTTGCTCTAGTACGGTTCTTATTTTGATCTAATACGGTTCCAATACAGTTCCAATATTTTGAACAATCTAAAAATAAATTTACCAATCAAAAATTTATTAAATCGTAAAAATAAGGAGAAAAAGAAACATAAATTCGTGCACATTTGACTGACAGAAAACAAAAAATGAAAATGATTTTGTAAGTTTGTGTTAGATATGTCAAATTGGAAAATAGGTGCAGTTTAGAATGTGTATTACTTGATAATTACTTGACAATTATTTGACAATTCCTTGAGCAAAAAATTTTAAACACAAATTTGCTCAAGTAATTGTTTACTTAAGAGGAACACACTCTAAACTCTTTGTTAACGATCTTATAAAAGATCTCGTTGTTTTAACGGTGTTTTTGGTTAACGCATTCTCAGCACTGGCACAAAAAAGGCCTTGTGAAGTAAAGAAGTCTTTTTGTCATCCTGTCGCTTTCATCCATTGTCAACACTTTAACAAAGTTGAAGACTGTTCAGAAGTTAGAGAACAGCGTCTTTGTGGCTGTGATAAAAACGGTGATACAATGCTTTGTTGGCCAACCACGATTGATTTTGAAAGGAGAGGATGTTTTGGGGTAAATATTACAAACTGATTACTGGAAAAACTCTAGAAATGTACCATGGAACAATATGGTCACTGTGACACTCCATTAGAGAACGGTTATCACGATATCGATGGATATCATATCAGGAAACTGAGGTATACCTTTTAGAGAGGAAAAAATCATGATGCAATCTCATTTCTATGCAAATTCTCATGATGGAGATAAATTCGCGAGGTGCACAAAAACCCTCGATCTTCCGTGTCGCGCATTGTTGAGGAAATGTTGGGAGAACGCTCCGGGAGCCAGAAAAGAAGGTTACCAAGTAAGTTCAACAATACAGCTGATCAAAAAGTACCCGCACACTTGTAAATGACTCATTTTCTAAATGAAAGCTAAAACAAAATTTGCCGTGTTTTATAGTATTTTAAAGATGAAATTCCGTTTAATATTTCTATAAGTAAATCACTCGGATCAGAAATTTCCAACCTTTTCAAGAAGCTTTGCACTGCATTCGAGGCAAAGCGCTTTTCGCGTTTCGTTTCGCATGTTTTCGAATAACAAGTTCAAGACTATTTTACGTTTTTATTTTGACGAGAGATTTTATTCTTTTAAAATAACAATCAAACTGTTACTTAAAAGAAGAGTGTACATTTGAAAAAGGCTTTTTAAAGGATTTTTTAATTGAAAACAGGTTCAAATAGGTGAGCGCGATGACAGTTCGCGTACTCCAGCGTGCTACAATGCTGCTTTGAAGAGCTAGGTGGCTCTGAGCAGAATGATTTAGGTGTAGTAATCCTCCCCAGAATTTCAGCTTTAAAATACTATATAGTAAGTCCAATTTCAAGCTGGGTTTTAGCTGAAATAGGAGCTTCTTTTGTAAAGTGTGCGGGAACTTTTTGATCACCTTGTATATAGGTGAGAGCCATGACAGTTCCCCTCCACGCACTCTTTGGAGAGTTAGGTGGCTCTGATCAGAATGGTTTAGGTGTAGAAATGCTCCCCAGAATTTCAGCTTCAAAATACTATATAGTAACTTCAATTTCGATCTGGGTTTAAGCTGAAAAATAGAGTATCTTTTATAAAGTGTGCGGGAACTCTTTGATCGGAAAAATGTAACGAAAAATATAGAGAAATGCGTTTTCGTCAAATTTTTTGCTTTTCAAGGCATATGGTTTTTGATATTAGATTATTCACTTTTGTAGCCAAATCCTGCTCATTTTTTAGAATTGTTTTAGCCATCCCATTTCTTGCTTCGCATTCAAACAATTGTAAAATAAGCAACTCATTTGCAGAATTGAATAAACTGTTTTTAATTTGAATTAAAAGTGACGATTTTTGGAAAAGTGAATTGTTGAAAGAGACAATGTTTTAAAATAAAATGAATCTTCACTTCTGATCGGTCAAATTCCCCAGCACGGCTGAGTCAACAATATCAGTTTTTGATCCTTTTTGAGCGAACAGAACACAACCCACACAACTCGTAAGAGTTCTTCTAGAATGACGAAAAAGCTCCAAACCAAAATATGTTCTTAGCGAATGAAAATGACGAATAAGTTATGAATCTGGGCGTATCATGAGACTTGATATTTAAAGAGCTGCACAATCTAGACTATTAAAGCCGAAGTTCAAGGAGAGATCACAATTTTCCAATTCCAATCCTTCATTCAAAATGCGTGCTCTTCTCGTCCTCACCATTTGCCTCGCCGTCGTTTTGGCTCATAAGAAGGTTTGTGAAAATGACAATTCCCCAACTAACGATTATTTTACAGGCTGGTAAACACAATCATAGAAAATCAAGTGAATCAGTAAGTCTTACCTCCATTTTGACAAGAATTGCAAATTTTCTGATTTTAGGATGATCAATTTTGAATTTGATTTCAGAAAAGCAGTGAAAGCAGTGAAAGCCACTCTCATTCAAGTGAATCTCATGAAAAGACAAAGAAACCAATGAGAACGACAACAATGAGATTGATGAGTTCATCGATTGGATCAACAAGTGGGCCAGTCAGTTCATCCACTTCGCAAGGATCAACCGGATCAACTACTCAAGCTCCATCAAGTGTCACGAATGAAACCACTACAGTATCTGCAGCCGCTGTTACTGTAACAAGTGCTCCTCTTGCTAGAGGATAATGTAAACATTTTGTCTATACATTTGTTGCTTTGAGCTTGAACTTTGGACTTGTCTAGACATTGTTTTGAAGATAAAGATTTAAAGCCTAATATTTGTATTTATTCAATTACCCATATAAATAATAAATTTTATTGCCAAACTATTGTGAAAAAGGTTCTTTGT